ACAAAATTATCTCTTCTCCATTGTCTCCATCTCCACAAGAACCCTAATATGCAGAGGCCTGCTCCATCTGTATAGTCAGGACTCGACTTAAACTCGTGGTTTAACGATAATCAAGTGAAAACATCCACTGGATTAAACAGTTTGTCACTGAAATATCATGAGCAAAATCTAAAATGCTCTCTATTTAGGAGCCATCTGTTGGCCAACTGCAAGCTGTCTCATGCAAGACTGAAACAAATGCCATGTTTACATATCATCTCCATCAGACTTTGAAAGTAAAGCCTCTGCCTCACAATCATGTTCATTCAGCATAAACAGCCCCTGTCTGAAATACATGATTCAAAGGGTTAGAATTAACAATGGAGCTCTCCATCTTTTCTCTCTTCCTCCCTTTCTTCCTTTTTTTTTTTTTTTTCTTAATGTGTATGGCTTGTTTGCCTGGATGTCTGTGCAGCACCATGTTCATACAGTACTGATAGAGACCAGAAAGGCATCAGATTCCTTGAAAATGGGAGTGACAGACTCTTTTTAGCAGCCAGGTGGGTGCTGGGGATTGAACATGGGTCCTGTGGAAGTCACTGCTCTTAACCACTGGGCCATCTCTCCAGCCCCATACCCATATTTTTGAGATAGGGTCTTACTGTGTGGTCCAGGCTAGATTAAAAATTTCAATTTTCCTGCCTCAGCATCCCATTTAACCATCACACCCAGTCTATCTGGAAATTTTCATGAGAAAAATATTTGGTGTGGAAAATTCTTCTTTGGGTTTCTGTGTATACATTTTCGTTGATTACAAGAAACAAAACCCATCAGATATGCAAGGAAAAAAATCCAGTGGAATAAATTAAAAAAAAAAAAACAACCTATGAACAAAAAAGCCATGCATATACTAAAGAAAAGTTTCATCTATTTATTTTTACAATCCTGTTTTATCATCCCACTGTAACCACTTTTACTGCTTCTTTGATTTACATATGCTTAGAATACTAGAGTTAGAAACAAACATGGAAGTCTGTCCTACTGCCAACATTGGAGAGCTGAAAAATCATTCAACTATCTAGTGATGATAATGCAGACAGACAGACAGACAGACAGACAGACAGACAGACAGACGTGAGCTGTGCTGGAAACACCCTATTCATTAGCAGACGCTTTCTCCACATATGCTTTAGCTGTTTTGAACAATATGTGTTACAGCTTGATTAAATTATGAAAAATATAGAAAACAGGAATCCATAATCCCATAATTCAGAAAATTAATACTATGATTTTTTATAGTCTTTTATTTTCCCTGTTTTACAAATACCATTGTATAATTTTGCAAAACTGAAATCTTTACGTGCTACATTTATGGGTCTGTTTTTTTCACATTAGAATGTATTTTATTGATTATAAAAATTTTCTTAAATTATTTTAGCCATATTTTATATAACCATTACTCTTCCTGTCATAAGACAAGGTGGCATACAAACCACCTTGCATATGAATCTCTGCATTTCTTTTTTTTTTTCATCTTTTTTTTATTTGAATTAGAAACAAGATTGTTTTACATGTCACTCCCAGTTCCCACTCCCTCCTCTCCCCCCCCCCAAACAAAA